TAGATAGGGTTAGCTAGGTGTTAGGTAATTTTAATATTTGTAAATATAGAATAATTAGTGTAAATAAAATAGCTATTTTAAAATCGCCAAGTTTTTATTGTAAAGAACCTGTTAAGCCCGCAACAATAGGATGAATAAAATGTCAAGACTCCAACTTCCTTTATTTCCCTATCATTTTATGTATTCCTAAGTAAATATTCTTAAGTAAATATACAGAGATATCCTTTTGGTCGGCTTGCAAACTTAGCAGGAAGTTTAATTTGATGACTTTTTAAATTTCGAGTGTCGCCCAAGAATAGGGGATTTTGGGGGCAACTCAAAATTTGTATATGTACGTCTTTTCTTACATTAGTTTTCTTGGGTAATAAAGTAATTTTAGCTCCCCTTTTAATTTGTTCCCAAGTAAATATTACAGAGTTGTTCTTTGGGTTGTCATAGAACCTTGGCAGGAAGTTTTATTTTATGATGTTGATAATTTTGAATGTCCCCCAAAAATTTTGGTTTTTGGGGGCAACTTGAAAGTTTTAAATGTTAACTCCCTTAAAGTGACACCTCATTTTGAAGTGTTTACAACCCCCAACACTAGAGTTCGCTATATCTTCTCCATCCAAAATGGTACCGGTAGCCATTATTACTGTACCATTAAACTGATTTTTTGTTTTCATTTTAATGTGTAGATTTCAATACATTTGAGGGGCTACCATTTTGGATAGGGACGAGATAGCAAAATCTGGTTTTCACAATTCTTTATATTATTATAAACGATTAAAAATGATGTGTCACTTGAAAAGGGCTTCGATCTACAAAAAAAATTGAGATGGGGGATTTCGGGGGACACTAAACAATTTAAAAATTATAAAATGACGACCATCAAACGGATATCACTGTATATTTAATTAGAAAAACATTAGATGGGGCCCCCGTCTTGACTTTTTATTCACCCTGTATAGGTAGATCTGCTGTATGAAATAGTTACACATCTAATGTTCATTTTGGAAACAATACTTAATTTCATTACGGTACTTAGTGTTGTAAAGTTTCTTTCTTTTTATTATTTAGATAAAGGGTTTAAATTTTCCAGACAACCATTACAGTGTATAAGCGCTGACGTGTGTTTAATAAAAATAAATAAATTTATTATATGATTTAATTTGTACAGATAAACTTATTTAAAGAGTGTAGACCTACTTACTCTCGAACGCCTACTTATATTTTATGCCAATGGATCCAAAAAATCAGCTTTCCTAAGTGTAGTAATAAAATGAATTATTTAATATTGATGATTCATAAAAAATATGTCTTATCTTAATTTTTATTTTTAAACAAGCCTCTATACAGGGTGAATAAAAAGTCAAGACCCCCGTTCTAATATTTTTCTAAGCAAATATACAGAGATATCCTTTTGGTGGTCGTCCAATCTTAGCAGGAAGTCTCATTTTATAATCTTGAAATTTTTTAGTGTCCCCCTAAAAGGGGGATTTGGGGGACAACTCGAATATTTTAAACGTAAACCCCCTTCAAGTGAAACTTCATTTTAAAGTGTTTACAAAAACTTAAAGAATGGTGAAAACTAAAGCTCGCTATCTCTTCTCTATCTAAAATGGTAGCCCGTCAAATGTTGTGGAAAATCAATGGTAATATTGGTTCGTAATGGCAAAATGTAATGGTAATGGTAATGTATGCTACCATTTTGTATAGAGAAAAGATAGCGAACTCTGGTTTTCACCATTCCTTAAGTTTTTGTTAACACTTTAAAATGAAGTGTCACTTGAAGGGGGTTTACATTAAAGTTTTTTGAGTTACCCCCAAAGTTCCCCCTTTTTGGGGACACTCAAAATGTGTCCAAGTCATAAAATGAAACTTCCTGCCAAGGCTGCATGACCATCCAAAGGATAACTCTGTAATATTTACTTAGGAAAAAATTAGAGGTAGGGAAATTTCTTTTTATTACATAAGAAAATTAATGTAACAATAACGTCATGGAACTTTTGACGGGCTACCATTTTGGAGAGAGAAGGATAGCAAACTCAGATTTTCACCATTCTTTAAGTTTTTGTAAACACTTCAAAATGAGGTTTCACTTGATTGGGGTTTACATTTACAATTTTTGAGTTGCCCCCCAAATCCCCCCTTTTCCCCGCTCTTCCTAAATAACAGACAAACTTCTACAATGTGAATACAGCACTACTAAAACATTTTCAATCAAATAAACACATGTTAATTGCATCAACCATATGTTTAATTTAAATAATTAATAATATAATAATAATAATAATAATAATAATAATAATAATAATAATTTCAATTTCAATTTGTTTATTTCTCGCATGCGAAAATTTGTTGTACACTGCAGCGCCTTGTATACCTCTCTAGCTGCAAGCTATTTGAGAGGAAAACTCATATCTATTACCTTATTATAATATCTTTTACGGGTACATAGTATAAATCCATTTGTTTTATTTTCAAATTAAATAATATTTAATAAACAACCATAATTTGAACAAAAACATTTTTTTCTTTTTTTTTCTTTTTATGTTTTTTTTTAATTATATTTGACTATGAGCTCGTATGTTTTTTATATATGTGTGTGTGTATCATGATAGTATTATGGAAATAGTTAATTATGGGCCGGGCTGGTAGCCCCGTGTTAAAACATGGTTAAAACCCGGGGCCGTCAATGCCTCCGTCACCCAGTTTCACCATTCCATATTATGTATAAGTTTATCACATTGGGTTGGAATCCATGTAAACTATTGATTAAGAATACACATAAAACAACGAGTAATTAGCATTTTACACTACCAAAAGACTTTTTAAACAAGTTTGTGCATACAGATTTTAAACAACACTTAGGTATGAAAATGTATCTTTTATGAATAAAAACTAACAATATTTCTTCTATCCTGTCTCCTCACTTTGAGAAAAAAGCTAAACCAATGATCCAGTCCAGGCCAGATCAAAATAGATGGAAGTAAAAGTGAGGTTATGTAGCTCAAATCTTCATGCTTGGTTAATGACTACATTAGACATGAAAATGTTGATAACATTGAAATAAATAATTGAGATAATAATAATAATTAATAATAATATTATTAATAAAAATTGAATGATTATTCAATCTTCGAAAACACGTAAGCTTTTAGAATTTGGCCAGTAAATTTGTTCATACCAATTGTTTTTGGCAGATCTATACAGTCTACACTTCATTTTTATGTGTTACAGGCCCATATTTTTATTTGATAAAAGGCCTTAAATGATGAATAGCACAAATTTTATTGTATTATTTTAATAATATAACAGGTGCTTCAGCAGATTTTTTTGATAGTCAAAGTATATAGCTGTGCAATCTTAGCAAGGTTATTTCCAGGTCAGTTCAGAGCGAAGAGTGGCGTTTTTATGGCCGAGATCGCCGAGATATCTTATTATGTAGTTTGTTTATTTGTATTATAGAACTCTAAAACGACTGATCAAAATGTATATACAGTTCATAAGAAGGACGGTATTAAACGTCTTGCGTGGTACTATTTTTCCACTTAGAAAAACATATATAGTGTGCAAAGTAAAATGTTTAAGGTCGGTTTAATAACATTAATGGGCTCACACATTAGTGGAAACTAAACACTAATTTAAAATTACTCTAAAGTAAAAATTCTGAAATAATATAATCCCAGGACTGATCCATAAATCCTGGGATCAATGCAGACAAATCCCAAAGTTCCGGGATTGGAATAAAGCATCGGAATTGAGACCCCTTTAGAGTACGTATGAAGGGAAATAAAGTAAAACATTTAATTTTTGAACTAAGTTAGGAGGAAGTTATACTGATTGCAAGAACAAAGGCTTAAGGTAACTTATTAGTTCAAAAATTAAATATTCTAGTTCTTGCCACTGGGAAAATATATAAAGTAGAACATGTGTTGAATATCACTCAAAACGAGGTTTTTGATCTTTCAGTATTATTTATTTTTACAAACAAGTCAGGTCAGGTTTAAATAGCCAAAGACATTAAAAACTGTTAGTGAATTTAGGCATCGAAGCGCTATCACGATGCCAATACAGTCACTGAAGTAGACCTACGAGCTGAAACTTGAGACGTGTCTGTGTAGTTCTAAAGGCTTGTTGCCACCAGAATTTACAACCAAATGTAAAATATAAACAGGTGCTAGAAACAAAAGTATTACACATTTTGTTTTGTACTCCGGCATATAAACGTAGCCTAATATGAGTGCTGTAAACATGCATTACTAACCACTTGAGGGGAAAAAATATCTTTTAAACACGGGAAAACATTTGTAAAGATTTTGACAAATTTTGTTATTGGATTTGTAATTAATTTATTTAAAACCCAATTGTAAACACGTCTTTTCACTGAGGGCTTCGGTCTAGTGACAAATGACAAGAAAGTCTTGCAGTGCGATAAAGTCGAAGTGTATATGAAACGATTCTCGGTATGAAATCAAAATGTAGTACAGTATCTAATATTGTTCGATAACGTTGACAAATGTCACTGATTTGTTTAGATTCTGCCGGATTGAAACAGGGTTTGTATAAAATAAAGATTACTTGCCTCCGTATTTAGATTTTTTATATTTTAAAATCTATCATCAGCCAATTTGATTCCAAATATCTTATTGAGAGTCCCATCTTGGTGTCACGTCAGTTCCTTATCAATAAAAACAAGTACGTATTCAATGCACCCTCAATGCGCAAGCAAAATATATTTGTGCAGCTTACTCTATTAAAAACGAAACCGACCATAATGATCCAAGTAAAACAAAAGCTATTTTGTAAAGTTCCGAGTAAATAGGTCAGTGTGAAATCGATCTGCGGGGATATCGGAACCTTGAATGAGCGTCAAATAATTAAGGTGAGTGGTGCGAATCGGCAATCAATGATATGCGTATCCAGTGCCGACTGTTGTTACGCTATCAATACGCGTGCAGTTGATATAGATTCCGCTAGGAGCGCTGGAGCCTGCGCGTTCGCCAGTCGCTCTCCGACCTCCGCCGCGTCAACATCTCGCAGTGTCTAGCCTAGTGGGGATTACCTTATATTGCATGTGTAACTAGTGATAAGTGTGTATGAAGCGTCGATACCTCTCGCCATGTCTGTAGCCGTCGTCCTGACTTTGGTCGCCGCTGGCCTGCACTTAGGTAAACAACTGCAATGTTCACGCTAACAGGTTGTTGTTGGAGATACTGCTTTAGCGCTAGCGATGCTCTCGTATCTCTCCCTTACATTATATCCTGTATATGTACATACAATACATTTTTACCTGCTCATTATTCTTTTGCTAAATAATTTATTTAGCATCAATAAATAGACATAATAATGTAAACAACGAGATACCTTCATTCACAACTTGTATTACAAAATGCCCTTGTGTTATCACTATTTTTATTTTCAATATAGGTTTGATGGTTTTAGTTTTATTCTGAAACAAATTTAGTCATATGTTTCAATATTTCAGTAAAATATAAGTACCATAACAGGACTGTATAGAACAATCACATCATTTTTTATTTTATTAAACCTATTACTGTATATACCAACATTTGACGTAAAGTGTTGTATTATTGTTGGTGGCGGCCATTGACGTACACACATCATTGTATACAGCTTATATCGTGTATATAGCTGTGTATCGTGTGTTATACACTAGCTGTAGTGTATATCTTGTGTTGTGTATTGTATCGCTGAGGCCCGGGGCAGATGGAACGGTCCAGACGGACCACCTCGCTTACTACGTCATACAGTTACGTTTCTAATATTGTACAATTAAATTGTCTACATTGATGAACGTGAATCTTATAAACTTCATTACAAATAGACACCGTTATAGCTCCCAACCTGCGTGTTGAATTTTGTCAAATTGTATAGAATATGATTTATTAAATAGGTCGATTATTGTTAATACGTGTACTAAAACCAAATTTGGTTTTATAATTGTTAGTTCAGTATTATAATATTTAGATTGAGTTGTGTTTAGGAATTTTTTACGAAGCTGAATTTTAAATTGTTCTATTATCGGGGCTTATGTTAAAACATTTGAATAAGGATAAATGTGAAAGAAAATAACTTTCAAATGAAGTTAGAAAGTGATTTTAAATTATATTTTATGATTATATTATATTTGAAATAACATCTCATTGTTTGATACTATAATTAAACATTGAATTGTCCCCAAGAAATATAAATAACGACCCGGTATTCAAAAGTTCACTTATCACTTAAGTTTGATTGTAAAACTGTTTCTCACCTGTAAAAAATATCATTCTTATATTTTATTAATTTATATGTTTAATTGTAAAATAGTGGCCAATAGCTATAAAATCATTAGTATTTATTTACTTTGTGTTTGTTTGTTGTATGGAAAAACCAATAAAGATTTCTTAAAAAAAACTTTTGAAATTAAATCGTTACGCTATTTATTTGATTGATTATTGTATGTATTTAGAACTTCTTGGTTAGTTTTTCCTGTTTACGGATGAACTATAAACTTGGATCAAATGTTACTAGAACCGTGTTGGAAATAAAACCAGATTATTTATAACATTCAGCAATGGTCATCTTATTAATCATAGTGCGGTGAAAAAATTGAACATCCTTTTTTGTTCGTTGTTGTACGAACAGTAAGATATACGATGTCTGAACTGAAAGGTTTATTCATAGACCATAAAAAAATAGCTATACATTTAATGGAATCCATTATTCTTATGGAAAAAATAAACTATTGTAGTTAGCTTGTTTATGGATATATTTTAACCAAATTTGGAAATTTTGTTTATTTAATACTAAGCTATCAAAATGGCAATAAAAACATAGGTACCTCAATATGTTCTATGTAGCAGCAAACCTAAGTACTCACTAAAATTAATACTATTTAAATAGGAAATAAATCTGATAATTTTTAGGGAATATTTTAGTAGAAATCCAGCCAGGTGAATGGAAATTCGCTTAGTCTGCAGGTTTGCTGTGGCGGGGGATTTACATGTGTTGAATTAGCACGTTTTTATTGATTTCTAAATATTTACTTGAGACACCACTTAGTAAACTAAATTTTATCCGGAAATAAACAGTATTAGATTATTTATACGCCCTTATATTTGTCTTTATCATCCAGTAAGTGTATGTTTTGCTGTTTTTACAAGATCTTAAACATTTTATACAATTTTAAGCACGAAATACTACACTCACTTATAAACTGTAGTGCTTAAGAACCTTACATAACTGGACACAAGGAAGTGTGGTTATATTTTTCAAATGGGAAATTTTAGCCGTTAGTGTTGTGTTAATGACTTTGAGTTTCCCGATTATATAATAGAGCTGCACGTTTTAGCAAACAACCTTAGTTTGCTTGAGTTTTACTTTAATTTAATCCTACTATATACCATTTATGTTCAATTTAAATTCAATTGTCCTCAATACTATAGCAATATTACCTCGAGTTACCTATACACATTATACAGTACAATAATCAATAAAATATAATTATAATATGTCAAGGCTTTTATGATATTGTATGGAGAATAATAAACAATAAAAAAATTATTAAAAATTCACAAAAATCGCAAATTATTCATAACATTAATAACATAAACATAACTGTAAACAATCCTACTTTGACAGTTCTCATTGCGTATCACAGTACTGTATTTTGTTGCTGCTTAGTTCAATACATAAATGCAAAAAGATTATAGTGTTGCACCCTATTGGTAAATCTTATAACTTTTTAATGCTTTTGTATATCATAGAACCAACTTTTTTTAGTCGAAACAGCTGACTTAGTTCTTTAATTCCCTTTAAATATGAATACTCATAAGGTTGACATGGGGAATCACAGAGCCACTGGGGCGGAGCCCGAACAGATTTTTGAGATAATAATATGCCTATATGTTAATCGGGAATGTGAGCTATCATCATGCCAAATTTCAGCCCATTCCGTCCAGTGTTTTATGCGTGATTGAACTTCAAACAAACAAACAAACAAACCAACAAACAAACACACAAACTTTCACATTTATAATATTAGTAAGATTTCCAAACCACAATCGAGGCTAACTTAAACAATACTTCTATGACAGATGGCTAGACACTAGACAGTTCGTCAAGGTGTCTTGTTAAGTTTGTTATAAGATCATTAGTTAGAGGATGTGAAAGTATAACTTGTATGACTGATTTGACTTGATGGGTGAAACGGTGACGATCGTGCAGGTAGACGGATAGAAAAAATACAGGAACGAGATACAGGGTGTCCAGTAAGTAATCAGCGTAACTCTGAGCAATGGTTCTATGGACCAAAATAAAAAGAAAATCAAGCCCAAAACGCTTTGTGAACCAGCTACCCGCCACTTGGTACTTTTTACATAAAAATCTTTGCCTTTTAGTTTTTCCAATGGATGAATTCGTTAAAATGAAGTCCATCCGGACGAGCTTAGCATTCTTAGCTTCATGGATAATAAAGGAGTCTGTGGAAAAAAATAATTCCTCATTTTCTCCTTATTTTGACCTATAAAACCATTTACCGGAGTTGTTTACTTACTTGACACTCTGTATAATTGCAACCTTTCATACATTTTACCAGGTCGAACAAATTCGCACACATGTAGCATTGATTTTAAGAACTTACAATTATGAGGGAAGAAGCTTCATTTTTATCGACAGTAAATATACTATCTACAATGGTAAATATAAATAATAGCTCAACGTTTATTTCAGTTAAATTTTTAAAATTCAATTAAATATACATAAAAAAGTCTATGGAAAATCCCTTTTAGCATTGTTTTCCACCAATTACGGACATTTAGTCACGTGATTACCGTAAGTAACAAGGTAGATTGGCACTGGGCAGGGACTGGACACGCTACTTGATGACGTCATGTTGTGTTGTACCATTGGCATTGATCGTTGACCATTATCCATTAGCTATTGTCCATTATCGTTACCGTTGCCGTGTCTCGCTTCTGTCTGTCTGTCTGCTTGCACGACCGTCCTCGGAACACCCAATCAGTGTTACGCATATAAACGTTACAATTTAGCACTTTCACATCCTATTTATGTAACAAACGTTATACGAATCAAGTAACTTCCTTTATCCGTCAAAAAAGTCTCGCCTAAATTTTACTCCGCAGCTCAACTAGTACAAAAATTACTCTCTTCAATCATACATGTGTTTCATAAGCAAGAATTATCTTGTCATGCGTACACTGAAAATTTTATTTACATGATAACGAAGTTCATAAAAAAGAAAGGGTTAGACGTTAATAAATGACTCCAGAAGGTGAAAGCACTAAATCAGTCTCGATAATCAAGTTCATATAGTCGTTATTGACACAAGTCGAACGTAGGCTACATACTGTGCTAATTATAAGAAACGGGCTCCCTCTATATTTACCAAAGATGCCTGTTTTGCTGGCAAAATTAGAATATAGTAATTGTTATGGATGATGATAAATTTTAGAGTAAATGTATTTTTATAAAAAAATGTTCAATCTTCGAAATAACTACTGTAAAATATTTTTAAGTCAATAGAACTAAATGAATCCCTAAATATAATTGTAGTTTTTACTTGTAATTGAGCATCATAAGGAAAAAGTCCGTTAGGTTGTACTGGTACACAACTTTGATTGTCAATTAGATGGAACATTTTACAAGATATAAACTTCTTATATCTCATTTTAGACCACTTTTAGTAACATTTTTCTACAAACAGTAAGGTTACTTATGCTACATTCACCCTATAACATTGATATTTGAACAAGGAATAACGGCAGATGGCGAAAACAAGATTTTCTCAAACTATCCACGATTTAGTTTTATGAACAGCTATTTTTTCTGAAATTTTTGGATAGTAAAACGTTGCATTCCGAACTGGCTGCGCACCAGGCACAATCACAACAGTAGTATTGCTCCAAGGCTGTCAATGCATGCATCTTCATCCATCAATATGGGCTAGGGGGGATATGACCTTTCCCCACGGTAAAAATATTATTGTGCAATGAAAACATAAGAGTCAAATAATGAACAATATGTCAGGGACCACCAATGGCATAAAATGACACATTTTTCATAAGAGAGGAGACCATCATCTTTACTTGAAGTTATTCCTCACCCCCGACCCCCTTTATGGAAAAGTCAGATGTACACCCATGAG